GGGTTCTCTGAAATCTTGGAAAAGCCAATATTTATGTAAGTCACATGATACTTTTAAAAATCCGACCCAATTCGAAATTTTTTTGAATACGATTATTAATTAAAATTGAATTTTCGAAATATTGGGTTCTCTCTCCATTCATGTATTTGACTCGATTCAAAATTTTCTCGAAATCTCCTCCAATATCAAAAATATATGTGTTCTCGATACGATCGGAGAAAGAACAGAAATTTTTTTACAGATGATAAATTTTCGCGATATATTTCGTGTACACAATGTATTATACCCACTTCGAACACACAAGCACGCCACCTAATAAGATGCGAGGGTTCATTTGGCATACACGTGGAAGTGGCATACTGTGGATGTAGTTACTTGTGCCCTTAATATCCTAAACCATAACGTTGCCGTTGCAGTGATTTGTGACAACGATAAATTCCCCTCCAACTTAAGTCCCGATACGATTTACGACACTGTAGCTTGCGTTATACACAAGGAAGCGATCGCTACCCGTTTATGCTTGGAATTATTTTCGAGTCCGATGGGAGGAGGCGTACGTTCTATCGCGGTGTATTTCGATTTTGACATCGACATCGGTTAACGAACCAATTAGCCGGTTATGAGCCCGTCGATGGGATTAAGAATGGCGTCGAATGTCGATCTGCAATCCCGTCACATCTCGTTTACACAAAAGCGCGATAGAAACTCGTGCATAACATGTTGGAAATGCGTTCAGAATTTTATATTAAGTTGAAAAATATTATGTAATCTCTGTTTTCATTATTCCAAGAATTTTTAAAAAGGGAGAAAAGAGGTTGGATTTTCGTTACATGAGAAACGTAGAGAAAAGATAGAAAAGTGTAATTGGATAATTGGAGAAAAATGGGATTTATATGCAAGAGAATATTGATAGTCGATTATATTCGAGTTATTGATACTTTTTCAATTGTTGAGAAAATCTTTTCATTTTTAAATTTCTTTAAATTCCATTATCTCTTTGCCTTAATTATTCGCATTAGTTACAGAATTAAGGAGGTTATCGCTGTGATCAACAGTTAAGAACGTAATCTAAGTCCAATAGGTCTTTAATCTTCGAACATCCCTTCCATTTATCACCTAATCTAACCTAACCTAACCAAAGTTTCCGCGCATAAACATCGGTTTATACCAAATACACCATTATCCCATTATATTAATCCCATTCATCATTTCGTGAAATAAAACTAAAAAAAAAAAAAAAATTCTTCAATCATACGAAACATCTTTTGTACAAACTCAAATTCCTTCAAATTTCTTCTTCGAAAATTCGAAGAAGATAGACACTCGATGAATAGACAGACGTTAGAAACGTAAGTCGTTTCGTCGTTTTTGTTTCAAAGATCAGCTCGTTCCAAGTTTATCGTCGCTTGCCACCGAAATTGCCAGAGGCTAAGCTCCGCCCACTTTCCAGGAAATGCGTGCGGGCTCGCCACGGTGTAGTAAAAAATCCGCTGACTCGGCGTTCCTCGATGGAGCGAGAGGGGAAAGGTTGGTCAATGATGCGTGCGAGAGGGATGCAAGCATTGAGAATCCGTTACGAGGGACGTTATCTCGGCTCGTGTTGGGACGAAAAGCGTTTTAAAGGGGAAGATCTCTTTTTGCTTTTCAATTCGTGTGGACGGGAATTCGGTGCAGCTATGCGGAATAAAAACATTATATTTCAATGGATCGGCCAGGGATCTTATTAACTGGGAAATGAATTTGATAGATTTGATCGATAAATTAGATGGATATCCAGACTTTGAATTTTTATGTTAACGTAATGTGTTTTTTTTTACGTTACATTTTGCGCATCAACGATATATATATATTTATTTCTCTCGGTTTTATTTGTATGATAATGGAATATTACGAAGAATCAATATTTTTATTATTATATTATCAAAAGGTGGAAAAATATCGAATGGTTTATTTGGTGACAAGATCCAATATGAAGTAATACATGTTATAC